GCCAGTCTCGACGTAAGGCCCTCTAGCTAGCCCTAGTAGGCAGACGAGAACAAGTCAGGATACAAGATCACGAGTCTGAGACTCGTGATCTGATTGGCTATTGAAACCTGACGGTGCCCGTTCATTTACAGCGCACAGGGGCCTGCTCTGTTTAATCTGAAGGCCCCGAGCAAGTTTAATTAACCTGGCAACACAAGCTAGATGAAATATGATTGGTTAAAAACTCCACCATAATAAATAAGTTATTTTTCGAGTGGCGTTCAATGTTATTTAAAATAACATTGAAAGCCACTCAACTAAGTGGAAATAATATGACGTAAAGAATACAGAGAATAATTTTGTTAACATATTTATGAAAATAAAATAACAAATTTATGTTATTCTCAGAAAAGTAAATTTACTTTTCTGAGAATGTTTAGGCCAGCAGAGAAGGCCTTGCTGGCCCTCAGGGTCCGCCACTGATTATACATATATTGAAAAATGTCCAAACACACAAAAGGTCAAAGTTAAAAAAAGAAAAAAACAACAAAAAAAAACAACAACAACAACAATGTGGAGCAAGAATAAAGCACAAGCTAAAGGGCCAGAATTAACACACACATCAACCATAAAAAGACCGAAAAACTATCCATTATCTGAACATCTTTACCCTCACGGGAGTGAGGGGTTGAGTATACCCTATAGTGGTTGCCGGCCAATCGCAGGGCACACAGAGACAAACAACCTCTGCATTCACACTTACACCTAGGGACAATTTAGAGTGTTCAATCAGCCTACCATGCATGTTTTTGAAATGTGGGGAGGAAACTGGAGTACACGGAGAAAACCCACACAGGCACAGGGAGAACATGCAAAATCCACACAGGAATCGAACCCTTCACCTCTGCACTGTGAGGCCAGCGTGCTAACCAGTCGGTGACCGTGCCGCCCAACCGCCGAAAAATAATCAGCCTAAAATACAGTGTATACTCTCTAACAAGGAGGCTTTATCCAATTAGGATTTTTGGAGGCCAAATGCCGATCAGCAAGTTAATAAAAAAGATAACCGATCACAAGATGGAACAACATGTCTCTTTAAATATTTTGCCTATTTAATGGACATTTAAGAAAAATATTTTATTTAAAAGAGGACACTATATATTAAATTAATATATAGTGTAAATGAACATTTACATTTTAAAAAAAATGCCGTTGGCTAGTTTACATCTGTAGTCTCTTGGCAGGTTGTAATCTTTTAAATATTTGTGAACTGTTTACTGAGCATCAACAGAAGTATTATGACAATTTTTAGCAATCTTTGCGATGCCCCAAGGAAGGACAAAAAACAAAGATTGTGATTTGAATATAAAACACGTATTCATAACAAATGAACTTGATTTTTATCAACAATAAAAAGGCTTTCAAAACATTTAACAAAATGACAACTAAATACTTAAGTTGGAACCTTTTCAGTTTTAGTTTAGTTTTAATGAACAACTTGTGGATTCATAAGTAGTAATGAAGTGACATGGGACACTGACAGTCTTGATGAACATGGGACTTGGGCGTATCGAATTTTATCTTTGAAAGAAGTGTTGTGAAGTGAAGTTGTCACATTAAGTGACACTTGTATGTAGTTTACCAAACATTTGCATATCTATTTTTTTCACAAAGATAATTTAAACAACTGTAAAACTGTATATTTGTTGACAATAGTGAATGTGCGTTATGTCGTAATTATTGGCAGATGCCAAATTGTCAAGCCTACCGGACTATTGTTTACAATGCAAGATGTGCTCTGTCGTGGTTTTCATGTCACATTTAGCCATTAACGAGTTAACACTGTTAACTGAGTTACGATCTTTGAAAAAAGCGCCGTGCTCCTGGACAGTTTGCTTTCTGTAAACCTGTTTTTGCCGCTGAATCCAGGCATGTCCAACTCCCGTCCTGGAGGGCCACTGTCCTGCCTGTTTTTCAGATTTCCCGGCTACAACAGACCTGATTCAGATGATCAACTCGTCAGCCAGCTCTGAAGCAGCATTAGAATGACCCTGATTATTTGAATCAGGTTTGTTGTTCCTGGGAGAGCTGGAAAACAGGCAGGGCAGCGGCATTTGGCTTAATCCAAAACTCTCTGATATCCTGACAACTATACGCAGACCTTGCTCCACATCGAGTGCTGTTTCCAAGTCAAAACACTCAAAGATAACAAAAAGAGGACCCAGTGTACTGTTGGAGCTGATGCCGCAAACACCCTGAGGTGGATATTCCATCAATACTGACGGAACGTCCGTCAATCCGTCACTTTTGAATTCATTGCTGGACACAACCAAGATAATGGTCCTAAGGCTAGGAGGAACACAAATTTGTGAAAGAGCAATACATATCATATACCTGTATACTCAACAGTACATCTAAGAGGAACCGATATTTAATTTAATTACCGATTGTTCGCAAATACTGCAGAATTGCTTTCAGAGAGTGATAGTGTCTCAGTTGTCCAGTAACTTTGTGTGTATTTTGCGGTTATTTCCCAAAAAGTTGAAATGGTTATTGACTGTCTCTCTTCACAGACGCTATATGAGGAATGGGCCAGCTACAGTGTCTTCTACAAGTACCAGCCCATTGGACTAATTAGGTGAGGGTCATTTTGTAATGATTTCAGTAATTATAGAAAAGGTTCAATACCAATACAACATTTGTTACTGTTACAATTGAAGATCCTTTCAGGATTGCCAGTTCTTTTAGTCAACATTTCTCGTTTATATAAAACTGTCCACTGTCAGAACCTCCGTATGCATGCTCCTTTAATTCCTTCTAGATGTGGAAGCTCTTTTTCCTTTAAACAAATGCCCCGTTGATGTGAAAAATGTTATTTGTGAATTGAACTTAGGTAGCGCCGGTCCTGATGGTTTGGAGATAACATTTTTAAAAAATAGCCTTGCATATATTGTCTTACCTCTTTCTGAGTTGTTTAATCGATGTGTCGACATCAAAACAGGCTGGAGTTACCCCTTCACACAAAGGCGGTGATCCTCGTAACCTCCATAACTATAGATCGGTTTCACTTATTAATAATATCGCAAAGATTTTTGAAAAAAACATCTTTAATCAGCTATCACAATATGTTAATGAATTCAGGCACCGGTGTGTTTGTTATCGGGGCTGATTTTGCTACTACTGAGAGGGGTGTACCCCCGGGGTCCTCTTTGGGGCGCTCCTCTTCTCCATGTTTATGAACGATTTGCCGAAAATCTGTATAGAACGTCGTACTCTCTGATATGCAGATGATACTATTATTTACTGTTGGAAAGCAGAATTTTCACAAATTCAGTGCAAATTACAGGAAGACTTTAATTTAGTAAAAAAAGGGTTTGACCAAGCAGGCTGGTTCTCAAGAACAAGAAATCATGGGGGAAGCTCTTTTCTTTAAGAGCAAGTCTTTCATTGTCAATTATGTTTCTTGATGGTTCCCTCCCTTGAGAAATTGGGAATATTTGGGCGTTTGGCTTGACCCTCAACTTTCTTTTCAATCTCATATTGATTCAGTTGTGCAGAAGTTAAACTGCAGCTTGAGACTTTTCTATCGCTCAATTAATATTGTTTATAATAATATCTTGATATTTGTTCTGAGGTCCTGATATGACACATCATTGTATTATGTGCAAATCGCTTGATTGGTTTTCGCCAAAATATAGAAGGTATTCTCACTGGCTGCGGTATATCTTAAATTTCTTTAATTTCCTCACAATACAAAGTATAGTGAAAGAAATACCAATATCCTTTTCTTTCATGTTCCCACACCAATGAAGGAAATTGGATGCCATCAGAGAAAAAGGACCACTTGATTGAAATAGTTTGCCTGACTCTATTTGATCAATTCATTTCAGCTATTCAAGTCATCTATCATAACTTATAATATTCCACTTTGCACCTGCTCCTGTCCTCCAAGAGCACCAAGCACCATTACGTCTGTGCCTTTAAATCTACAAGAGGTTTATTCAATATTTAACTAGAATTAACATGTTCCAAAAAAGCTGGAACATGGTCATATTTGCCAAATGTGTTAATCACCTTTTCCATATATGATGTCTTATTATTTATATTTTCTGAAAGCACACAGTTCTGTTTGGATTGATATGTTTATAAATGTGATTAACTGTTAACTTCGTGCTGTGTTATGTTTGATTTTGTATGTTGGACCGTATCTAAAATGAGAAGCGGCAGGCCGGATGTGGCTTCCCGGTCTTTGAATTTGACAGCTGTGGCATAGATAACTTGTTAGTCAGTTACTAAGTTGTGCGCACCAATATTACCATTCGGCTGGCATTACGTTATTTAAAAATTTATCTGTGTGAGCCGTCACCTTACTGTGAAAGAGGGGCTTGCATGTCCCAACGAACCTAGGAGCGAAGTTGTCTGATGCTTTATACCCCTGGCAGGGTCTCCAATGGCCAACGCACACATCTCTCTCTCTCTCTCTCTCTCTCACTCTCTCTCTCTCTCTCTCTCTCTCTTTCTTAAATGACACATTACCTGATTAATTTCTCTAGTTGTCCAAGTGTTGGCGAAGTGATCAAAGCATCATATTTCATGTAATGAGACATTTGCTGTGTCACAGTACGTTTAAGTTTGTGTGAATGGATGCTTATTTTGACATGCTCAACTCAACTTTGTTGATAGAGCACAAAACCAACCACAAAGTACAATAGAAAACCTTTATTTTCACATTTTAAGGTGCAGATGCAACAAGATTGACTTTATAAAAAAAATAGAAGACAACCAATAAGTCACTGAGTCACAGAACTCATTACTTTTTTTTAAAGTAACAATGCTGAACACTAGTAAGAAATAATTAATTTTTCTTTTTTCCCCCCACAGGAAGTATTTCGGGGACAAGGTTGGCCTATACTTTGCCTGGCTGGGAGTCTACACACAGATGTTAATCCCTGCTGCCATTGTTGGAGTGATTGTATTCCTCTATGGCTGTGCCACTGTTGATGACAATATCCCAAGGTATACGGTAAATTCCATTTGTAATAAATTTGATGGACATCTCCTGGTAGAAACTTACTTATTCAGGACGCTTATCCTTACAAAATGAAACGTATCTTTTTTTTTTTGTGGAGGGGTTGGGGGGCAGGGGTTAACGCACATGTCACACAACTTGTTACCAGCAGAAGTGACTTTTAAGCTTCCATATGCCCCGAAGAAACACTAATGGTCCAATTGTTGAACTTCTTTCAATAAAAACAACACTGAATTATTTAGAGTAGGGCTCTGTAATATGGCCTTACAATAAAACCCCCATAATCAGATTTCAGATTTTAACGCTTTTCCCCCCTCATTAAAAAGAAAAAGCAAATGATAATGACATTATCCGTTACCTGGAAAAAGGTGTTTAAATACAGTCCTTAATGCTTTTAAATGCTCAAACATTTTATAGCAATATATTGACTAAATATATCCTCTTTGGCATTAATCCCAACTAAACTGTCACTGAATAGAACATAAATGGTGCTTTTTTTCACACAAAATTAACCTTTGCCCCCTAAAATGTAAACAATACGTTGGCTACAGTATACCATAAAGCACTCCGTGTAGACTACGTTGACATGCCTAGTCGGTTGTCTAATTTGTAATGAGCATTTCTTGGCAAAGAAAGCCTGTCTATCGTGTCAGGCTTTTGGCATGCTCTGTTACTGTTACAATGAGTGATTGATTGTACCCAAGCAAAGTAACAGAGCATTCATAAAAGTTCAAGTCTTTATTTCAAGAATTTGTAAGTAACAAATAAAACTGTAAAAGACAAATAGCAAAACCTGAAACAAAATGTGGTGCTAAATGGGTAGAGAAAGGCAGTACACTAAAACAGGGGCCCCCAACCTTTTTTGCCCCACGGACCGGTTTATGTCAGACAATATTTTCAGGGACCGGCAATTAAGGTGTGGCGGAAATAATACAACAAAATAATATGGTATGAGCTGCATGAAAACTGTGGCGTTTTCGAAATACAATAATAAACACAAGGAGCGTCGAATCTGGCCGCAACACTCCGATCGCTATGGCAATGTTTAATGCCTTCAAAATACGATACAACGCAAATTCAAAGTGCATGAAAATGACGACTCACCACAGCACCGAGCTTGATTTTCTGCAACCAGACGGTCCCATCTCGGGGTAATAGGAGACAATGACACCTCAAGTGTGTGGTTTATGTCCAGTCTACTTCGTAATTTTGTTTTTGTCGCCGTTGCTGCAGAAACCCCCCGCCTCACACAGGTAGGATGTCGGAAATAGCAACAGTGCTGTTGTGGCCATCTCAGAGTATTCAGCCATAACTTTAATCCAGTTGTCTCGAACGTACTTTTAAGGCCGCCGTCATTTGCGATCTCCAGCAGTTTTTTTTTTTACTCATTGTGCGAGCTCCCGCGTTTTGTTTTGAAGTAATCGGTCACGTGAAGGAGAAGCATGGCTTGACGTGTGTCAAGCATAACACAGACGGATGTAACGGAGAATTCGGTAGTTTTTCAAAATAAAACATCTTTCGTATCCGAAATAAATAAAACGGAATTAAGGCAAGTTCTTTCTGTGCGGCCCGGTACCAAATGCCCGGCGGACCGGTACCGGTCCGCGGACCGGCGGTTGGGGACCCCTGCACTAAAAGACTGATCAAAATCAACCAGTAGAACGATGTAATTTACAAAGCACCAAAAGAAGAAAATAATACAAAACGTCGTAGTACAATATGTTACAAAGCACAAATATTGACGAGAGTGCAGATCAATGAGTTCCTGAACGTGGGGTATTTTACTCTACTCCCACATGGAAGGGCATTTTTTTGACCTACGTTACAGCTCTGAGTCACGCTTGAGGACGCTGGAGTGGGTATGTGCAGATACTTATTGTCGAGCTCCATCCATCCATCCATCCATCCATTTTCTTCTGCTTATTCAGGATTGGGTCACGGGGGCAACAGCTTTAGCAGGGTAGCTCAGATGCCTGAGCCACCTCATCTGGCTCCACTCGACGTGGAGGAGAAGTGGCTTGACTCTGAGCCCCTCCTAGATGACCGAGCTTTTCACCTTATCTTTAAGGGAGAGCCCAGACACCGCTTTAACAGGGAGGCCCAGACTTCCCTCTCCCCAGCTACTTGTTCCAGCTCTTCTCGGGGGAATCCCGAGGCGTTCCCAGGCCAGCTGTAAGACATAGTCTCTCATGCATGTTGTGGGTCATCCACGGGACCTCCTACCGGTGGGACACCGCTCACAAGGTAGGCGTCCAGGAGGTATCCTAATGAGATGCCCGAGCCACATCATCTGGCTCCTTTCGACGTGAAAGAGAAGCGGCTCGACTCCGAGCCCCTCCCGGATGTCCGAGCTTCTCAACTTATCTTTAAGGGAGAGTCCGAATACCCTGCGGAGAAAACTAATTTCGGCCGCTTGTATCCAGGATCTCGTTCCTGTGGTCACCGCCCATAGCTCGTGACCATAGGTGAGGGTTAGAATGTAGATTGACCGGGTTGAGATCTTTGCCTTTTGGCTCAGCTCCTTCTTCACCTTGACAGACCAATTGACCAATACAAAATCTGCAGCAAAGTCACAGACGCTGCACCAAACCACCTGTCGATCTCCCACTCCCTCATGCCCTCACCCGTGAACACGACCTCAAGATACTAAAACTCCTCCACTTGGGGCAAGATCTCATCCCCGACCCAGAGAAGGCACTCCACCCTTTTCCGACTGAGGACCATTGTTTCAGATTTGGACGCGCTGATTTTCATCCCAACTGCTTCACACTCGGCTGCGAACTGCTCCAGTGAGAGTTGGAAAAAGCAGAGATTTCTTGCCTAGCTCCATTCAACGGTATATGATACACACCTGTGAGACAGTGCTACCCCGAACTCGACCTACAAATCTATTGTTTTCTTTCGCCTTCCCCTAACCCTGAAATCTAGCCTCAACTACAGACAGTCTGGGCGGATTCTTGACCTTTAAGCACTATCTCCCGACTGACTTAAACCAAAATACGAACTTCCATCATCCAGGGAGTGTGCTTCTGTGTGAGTTTTCAGCTAACCAAAAGACTATTAGACGCACTTCCCAAATTATTACCAAGTATCGTTGGAGTTTTTCATCATTGTGATCAGTGAGGCGTGTGAGTACACTCTGAAGCTTTGGTTTCCTGGTAGGACGCGAGCCCGCGTTACACAGTCGGACAGTCAGTTTCTCCGACTGCTGTAGGACTGTGTCGCACCGTGGTCACTCTGCCCGAGTGTGTGTGGATTTGCCTTCCCAATGGAATGCCAGCCAGTGTTTAGCAGAGCTACACAGTGTAGGCCGTGCTTCTCCGGCTACGAGGGAGATCTCTCTGATTCTGGACACTCAACGTGCTTTGTAGCAGTGCCACAGTGAGGTGCTATCAACTGGAGAAAATTACAAACTCATGAATGAACGGAAACACTTCCCCTGGGATATACCCTGCTATCTTAATACCAACACATAATGTGAAATGCCATACGTGGCCTTCGAATAGCGTCTATGCAGTAGATAAGCAATGGATCTTTGAACACAAGTACTTGTACTGTTTATCAGGGGTGCCCGTCGTTCACAATCAACCAGTAGCTCGCCAGTGCGGCATTGGATGATCACATGAGATTACTGTTCAGCAGTATATGCTGATCAACTCTTTCTAACACTGCAGTGAGACCAACATCGACACCCTCCCTATGTCAGTATTCAATCTTCTGTCATTTAGTACAGGGGTGGCCAACCAGTCAGAGTCTAAGAGCCAGTTTTTTTACTGTTTTACCGCAAAGAGCCACATCACACACACACACACACACACACACACACACACACACACACACACACACACACACACACACACACACACACACACACACACACACAAGCTGCAGTGGTTACTTACTACTTGGGTCAGCTTGCTACGTATTTGACCAAAGATCGACTTTTGAAGCTACGAACTCCCGCGACCGACCGATCACGCACGTGCAAGCATATACACACGCACACACACAGGCGGGCGCCCAACCATGCACACGTGCGCATACGCAAGCATGCACGCACGCCGAGCGACACCGAACATGAACGGAATCGAAACACACAGACACACAAAGTTTTTTTCGCCCCTATTTCCTCCTCCCAACGTTCGCGCGTGACTTGGGACCAGTCTGCTGACTTCGGGTCGATCGCGATTGACGTATTGGACACCCCTGCCTTGAAATCGGAGGTAATTCGCTGACCAGCGCTGAGCACTGTTGTTTGCGCATGAGCAGTGATTCAGTTGTCATCTGATTGGTTGTCCTGTATGTCAATCAAGTAACGGGATTGATGATAGGCTGACGTAGTAAGTTCTGTTTATTTAACGCCGTTGTTTGAATGGCAGCGCCACTGCCGAGGTGTTTTCGATGCTTGTTATTTGAAAGCCCGGGAGCCGCATTGAGCCGGCCAAAGAGCCGCATGCGGCTCACGAGCCGCTGGTTGTCCACCCCTGATTTAGTACTTTAATAAGCTGTTTCTATACTGTTATGAGGTTAGAAACCTGATTGAAATTTATCCAAGAGTCCACTTACGTGCCAGAAATTGCTGAGTTGATTAAAAGCCACTTTCTTGACACTCTTAAAAAGGGAAGGTTTGAGATGGGTCTTTAATTTGCTCAGAAGGAGACATCCAGAATTCTCTTTTTTAAGAAGTGGCATGACGGCAGCTACTTTCAGGGGCTTGGGAAGCTGGCCTGACTCAAGTGAACAGTTCATTATTTGCTGTAACTCCGAACAGATTTCACAATCGTTATGAAAAGGTTAGATGGAATTGAGCCAAGAAAGCTGGTTGATGGTTTCAACTGCTGAATCAAATTCGGAATAGTTTTTGATCCACTGTATCAAATTCTGTCATGGTATGTCAATTATTCCTGGGGGATTTTAAGTGTTGCATCATTTTGTGATTTTGCTATTTTGTGACAATATTTGACCTGATGGATTGTACCCCTTCACTGATAAGGCAAGCAAATTCATTGCATTTATCTGTTGAGATAAATGGCGCTTTTTGATTTGGGCCATTACAGGAGTGAGTTTGTCAAACAACAAAAAGAATGCACATATTGTTGAAGTTCTGACTAATGATTTCAGAAAAGTGGTGTTGTCTAACCTATGTTAACATTAGAGCGATATTGTCTGAAAAAAATGACCTTTATTTTTTCTCCACTGACACTCCACTTTCCTGCACTTTGATTTCAAAGTCATGATGCTCATAGTGCACCTCCAAGGTGTTTTAGGTCAGCATGAAGTCATTTTAGAATTATCAGGAGCAAAATCATCCAAGACATTTGAGATATGAATGTGGAAGTAAGCTGGAGTACCCGGAGAAAACCCACGCAGGCACTGGGAGACCAAACTCTACAAAAGAAGGCCGGAGCCCAAATTTGAACCCATGACCTCTCCACTCTGACCTGTTTTCCACCCCCCAGCCCCCCCAAAAAAATAAAATAAACAAAACTTGGTGCTCATTCGGCGCAAGGGCCGAATGAGCACCAACTTGTGTTTAGTTGGTGCTTGACAAGTTCTTATGAATAACCTGTTTGTTCGGAGCTACTTTCTCATAAAGGGTCCAAACGTCACTGCTCACCTCAGTGTTTATCCAAGACTGCCTGCACTACTATTAATAATAACAATAGAAGCAATAATAATAATAATCGTAATCATAATCATAATCATAATCATAATAATAATGCGCTGTTAGCATGTGCATGGTGGTGGAAAAAAGAAAGAACTGGTGCTAACCTGGACACTGGCCCGGAACTCGCACTGGCACAAGCGCAGTGGAAAAGGGCCATGCAATGTGCTCACCAGTCGGCCACCATGCCACCTGCATGACATTCATCTGTCAATAAAAAAGTTGGAAGTGCTCATTGGACTCAGAAATACAGAAAGACTCAATATTTTTTCTCCCTGTGAGATTGATTTGTGTTTACTAAAATACAATTTTATGCATGACTACTAGCTAGACTTTACAGGATCCCGCATTGAGGAGTTTTTGGAACACCAAAGACAATTGCAGCTTCAAATACCTTTCGGTGGCTTTTGTCATAGCTTCTCTTCTGATATGCTATATTGGCATTAATGAAACATTTCTTTAATATGCCTTTGTCTGAACAAACGTATTTGAGTCACATACAAGTTAGTAACAATCAAACGATTTTCTTGAAATGTAAAGTGTTTTCATTCCTTTCCAGGCATTTGACTATTCTACAGTTTAAGACAAAAAAACTGTATTAAGATAAGATAAGATAAGATATCCTTTATTTGTCCCACACTGGGGAAATTTACAGCCTTCAGCAGCAAGATTGTGGGTAGAAAGAAGAGAAAAGAAAACACAGTTCAATTAAGTGCAATATAAATACAAATATGGATAAGGTCAATAAGTTCAATTAAGTGAAATATAAATACAATAGTCACAGTACTATTCACATTCACATTTGTTGTCATATCATTTAAATAATTTTATGATTTATTTATTTATTCATTTTTTATTCAGCAGCCTGACAGCAGTCGGTAGGAACGAGCGGCGGTATCTCTCCGTCTTGCAACGCGTCTTGGTTCATATTCTGCAAAGAAAATGAAACAACGTGAAAAAAACTCAATGTTTATCCAAATCCCCCATTGGAACGCATGTACCAATGAACTGGCTGTTCCATTTTCATGTAAACATAATTCTTTTGGTTTGTTCAAATTTTTTTCCCCGTTGTTCCCCGATAGTATGGAGATTTGTGATCCGAGGAACAACATCACAATGTGCCCACTCTGTGATCGCGCTTGTAGCTACTGGAAACTTATGACAGCATGTGGTACTGCTCGAGCCAGCCATCTCTTCGACAACCCAGCAACTGTGTTTTTCTCCGTCTTCATGGCTCTCTGGGGTAAATACATTGCATGTTTTTGTCATAAATAATTTTCATTATTAATACACACAATCCCCCTTCATATAATACATAAAGAATGTAACTCAAACTTGTTAAAAAGAATAATTCAGCACAACTTTAACTTTCTGATACCTAGCTTGACTCACCTTTATTTATACAAAACTTTCATAACAACTGTAACAAAGCCCTTTACCGAACATATAGCGCAAAATATTACAACCTTAACAAGCCATAAAAATCTTTTTCTCCACTCCTACTTTGTACATATCGTTGTTAAGCGGTTGTAAAAGTACATCTGTTCTGATGAGAGATGACACCTGAGGAGAATTTGTTATTGTGATTATCAGAATCAGAATCAGATTTATTGGCAAAGTACGGAATTTAACATACAAGGAATTTATCTCCCTAGTTAAACCCATCCAGAGAAACATAAACAAAACCAACGACCAACAGAAAATTTGGTGAAATAGATGTTTTTTCAAGTGTCTTTACCATTGTGTATTATAGGACGCACTGTTGGCTTTTGAGAAAATTGAATGGTTTTAGTTGCGCCTTATCGTGCAGAAAACACAATATGTATATTTTACATTTTTATTGTTTTCTCAATCTATTTTATTTCTTTTGCAATTTATTTCTCTGAGTGTCATGAAAGCCTGCCTATGTAGTTTTTTTCACGTTTGTCAATACTAACCTGTCTGTCTCAATTTTGCTTATGTTTGTGAAGTGCTTTGTAACTGTGTGTTTAAAAAGTGCTTTATAAATACAGCCTTACTTACTTCCGACTGCATATATCGATTTTGTCATCGGCGACGAGTCAAGGTCAACAAGACTTCCAACACATTACTTTCTACTTAAAAAAAAAATCATAAATTGTGTAACACTTATACTTAATGATGAATTTTACATTGACCCGTGTATGTTTTTGTCGTATAGCTGTTCTCTTCATGGAGCATTGGAAGAGACGACAGATGCGACTTAACTATGTCTGGGACCTGACAGGCTTTGGAGAGGAAGAGCAGGTGAGCTGAAGCACATTACATATTTAGAGATGTTGTCCAGGGTTTTACAAATCTCTGTTTGCGTTTGTATTCTTTTTGCACAAATCATGTTTCATCCAAAGTCACACAACAAAATACAAATCCATAAAATCTTAAATGGTCTGCACCCCCCCCAAAAAAACCCCATAAAAAAGTAGCCAACGTTTTCTAGGGCAGTTTTTGTTTTTGTCGAGATGTTCCTTTTTTTCTGTGAGTGTAATTTGACAATTTTTATTAAGAGTACACTTTATTCTTGAGATAGCCCTACAAGAAAAAAATCAATCACAAAACAGACAACTCTGACAATCTAGGGGGCCAGGGAACATTACCAATGAATGATGGTGAAACATGGTTACTGAACAATTCTTGCACAGCCTCCAATGATTGGCGTGCAGTTTGTGATATTGCCCCATCCTGTTGAAACCAGATCCAGTCTCTTCAAAGTTATTAATTCAACATTTTATCGTGTGTTTTGATGGAACAGTACAATGAAACCCTAAATTGGAAAAATGTCGGAACTCCCTCTGCGAAGCTGTCAAACTACGCACCGTTTTTATAAAACATTTTTATGGCTAAGGAACGCTTTTGCCCGATCCACTGATCCATGGTTACTAAAATGGTGGGAGTAGTTACTTGTTCAATTCCCGTTTTTTGGGGGTCAACCCGTACATCCACCAACATAACAAAAAAACATAAAAATAACAAGCAATAACATGTGAACTATTCCTGGAAAACTCATAGTATTTAACAGAAAAACTGGAGCATATGGGACAAAAATGAATGGTACTATTCTTTTCATTGCGAAAAGCTGATCTAGAAATTATCTGTCATTCTTATTTATTGTTTCATATTAGTGAATTCAATGGGTGGCCCGGTAGTCCAGTGTTAGCACGTCGACTTCACAGTGCAGGGGTACCGGGTTCGATTCCAGCTCCGGCCTCCCTGTGTGGAGTTTGCATGTTCTCCCCGGGCCTGCGTGGGTTTTCTCCGGGTACTCTGGTTTCCTCCCACGTTCCAAATACGTGCATGGCAGGCTGATTGAACACTCTAAATTGTCCCTAGGTGTGAGTGTAAGCGTGGATGGTTGTTCATCTGTGTGTGCCCTGCGATTGGCTGGCAACCGGTTCGGGGTGTCCCCCGCCTACTGCCCGAGGACAGCTGGGATAGGCTCCAGCACCCCCCGCGACCCTAGTGAGGATGAAGTGGTTCGGAAAATGAATGAATGAATTCAATTTTGTGAAAAATGAAAATCTAGGATTAAATTGCTTTCCAGTTTGTTGTAATAGCATAATTGCAACAAAGAGACAATGTAGCCTTGATGTGAAGTTTTGCAGTGTTTTCACATGTTGGTTATGAGGCTCTTGAACTGACAGTGACAACATCCAACATGGTGAAATAATAAATCAAAGTATAAGATGATGTAAAATGATGAACGTGTTCTGTAGAATATGCAATATGTGTTTTTCATCTATATTCGTGTATTGAGGCATAATTTTGGTTATATTGATAGCAAATTTGGAAGAAAGCACTCGTGTCATACAGCCACCTGATTTTCTATTTTAAGAACTTGTATTTAATACATGTGCACAAATGTATCATTTAAATTAAAATTAAGTATGTAATTTCATGAAGAATAAAAGAAAACCTGTTTTCAGAAAAAAGTTACTGAATCTCACAAAATGCTGACGACGACATCAATATTTGTGCCTCTGTTGTCAAAACAGCTGACTCTCTGCAATTGTTATATCATCACATCAACAATGGCTGACATGTTGTCCCTTTTTTGTTTATGGTGTACTTTACAGGAGGAACACAAGGTTTGACTTGCTTTACCTTTTTCCTCTTTTAATACTTTTTAGTAAATCTTGAGTAAAGTTATCTGCTTCTTTTCTGTTCAGTGCTTGGGGCAAGATTTTACAAATTTTGAGTTTCTTAGCCCTGTAGTTTTCGCAAAGCATTTAATCTCTTTCTGCATTGTATCCGTGACTGCAGACTGCTATAGGGGTGCATGGCTGCATGTGAATGTTATGTAAGCATGGAATATTCATTAAACATTACTTTTGCACTCAGAAGATACATTTCAGCAAAAGTTGCTATGAGTCCTGTAAAGTATGGCAATGTTAGCGGTTCTGTTAGTGTAGGAAAATAGTGATGGATACAGGAATGGGAAAATAGAACCATCAATTAATTTTCTATACTCTCATTAAGGTGTGTGTCTGGGGATCTTAACTGACTTTGGACATCCCGGACTAATTGCTAAGTAGACAGGAACCATTCACATCTGGACCTAAAGCTGATTTAGATACGGGGCCATTCAATAAATGAGGTGAATTTTTTTGGTATAAGGACTTCTAATACAGACAGCTTACTTAAAAAAAAAAAAAAATCAACATAGTCTCCCAGCACTGTCACACACTTTTCCCATCTGTGCACAAGCTTCCATATTCCCTCAGCGTCAACTTTCAAACTTCGTGCCTCTTGTGAACGCTTTTAAGGGACCAGAGGTGAAAGTCTGAAGGGGAAAGTTCTGGACCTGAAGGGGGATGAGGGAGCAGTTCCCAGCCCTGCTCGGTGATGGTCTGTATCTGTTTTGGCTGCTGTGTGAGGCCTTGCATTGTCATGATGCAAGATGACTCCTTCTGACTGATGACCCCTTGCGTTTGTTCTTTATGTCTTTCTTGACCTGCCTCAACAGTTCACAGTAGTTGGCACCAAGTTTGAAAGTGACGATGAAGTCAAAAGTGTTGTGAGCAACTGGATAAGACATCAGTCTAAAGATCTTTACGCTGAGTGAATATGGAAGCTTGTGCACAGATGGTAAAAGTGTGTGACAGTGCTGGGAGACTATGTTGAAAGTTTAAAAAATATATATCTTTTTTTAAGTAAGCTTCTATCTGCATTATTAGTCCTTATACCGAAAAATGCACCTTATTTCTTGAATGACCCTCGTACTTAAAACTTAACATCTGTGGTAGTTTCTGGTAGGGGAGATATGTGTGGCAGAACAAGGTGGTATTTCTTCATATAGTTGATTGATTTCTCTTTTTAGTCAGAGTTTCCTGACTGTGTTCACACCTGTCCGACTGAATTGCACCAACAGGGGACACAAACTAAGATAAGATAAGAAAACCTTTATTTGTCTCACAATGGAGACTCCCAATTTACAGCAGCAAAATTAGGAAAGGTAGAAGTAGAAGAACAAAAAGTATATAAATAAACAAATTATAAAATACAAATGGAAGCATATTAAAATGGGTGAGTGGGGTTGAATCCAGGTTTTCAGGACCGTCTATTCAATTGCCTGACAGCAGTCGGCAGGAACGAGTGGCGGTAGCTCTCCTTCTTGCAGCGCGGGTGTATCAGTCTCTGGCTGAAGGAGCTGCCTAGTGCTGTCAGGGTGGCCTGGAGGGGGTGGGAGGGTCTGTCCATCATAGCTTTTAGCTTGGCTAGCATCCTTCTGTTGCCCACCTCCTCCAGAGTGCCAAGGACAGAGCTGGCACTCCTGACCAGTCGGTTCAGTCTCTCTCTGTCCCGGGCTGAGATGCTGCCTGACCAGCAGACTATGCCATCATGAATGGCTGAGGCCACCACAGACTCATAGAAGTATACTATATAGAAGTATACAGTCCTATACTAGAGTACTGTATACTTAAAATGTGCGAGTTAGAAAGCATTCTCGGTGTGGATGTGTCTGATGCAAGACTGTTTACTAAAATAAAGTTGCAGTTGAAACCGTGGGTGTCAACCCAAAAATTGTGTCGTTAGCCATGTGTTTCTCCTTTGATGATTTCATGTTAGTTCAGTACATTTCTTTCACGTTACTTTGTTTGCCGTATTTCATATATATGTCCATTTTTATGAACTCCTTGTGGACCTTTACTCACTGTTTTTCAGACATTACCAATAACTAAAATGATGTCTTTTTCAGGACCACAACCGAGCCGAGTATGAGGTCCGTGTCATGCAAAAGGCATTGAGGCAGGAAAATTCCATTTCGAAGGTAAAATAAATGTGAATACACGTTTCCATCTATCTATAACAGATGAAATGTTTGTATGTCGATGAAAACCCTGCGAATATGATGTCATTTGTACGCTTATTCTATTCATGGTCAGAGGTCATAGTACATCCTGCACCGGCCACTAGTGAATTGTAGGGCACATGTAGACGAACAACCATTCACAATTATTCTTCCATCTATGAGCAGTTTTGACACAGTAAAGCCCAAGCAGAGATTCAAAAGCCAAAACATTTTGTCTGTGAGGCAGATTCGAAAACCACAAGCCCATGAAAACTAGATGTACCGGTATAGAATTTATGGTAGCCATCTGTTATCGGAAGAAAAAAAAACACAGTGGTCACAAAAATAACTTGAATCTGACAAATGCAGTTGTTTTTAATAAACTAACATGAAACAGGGCTTGGCAAAATAATGGAACCGTTAGAAAATATTGAAAATAATTTGAGTATAGGAATAATTTTCGACCAAGGTGTGTTCTGTAATACACATCATATCTGTCTTTAAACTTGCAGTCAGTCAGCTATAGCATATTTAATGGGCAACAAGTTGTCACAGTCCTGTATGGTGACATGGTGTGTACCACACTACACATGGACCTTAACGAAGCAAAGGAGAGTTGTCTCATGAGATTAGAAAGAAAATTTGAGACAAGCACGCTAAGGGTAAAGGCTATGAGACTATCTCAAAGCAGCTTGACGTTTCTGTGATGACAGTTACACATAATATTCAGAGATTTAAGATCCACGGGACTCTTGCTGGAGGAAAATTCATAATGAATTGAAGACATGGATGATACAAATGGAAACAAAAGAGCCCAGAGAACAACCTCAAATAAATGAAAGATGAACTCCAATATCAAGGTGTATCAGTGTCAGATCGTACCAGCCGCCATTGTTTGAGCACAAGTGGACTTATGGGAGACAACCAGGAAGGACACCATAGTTGATTTTTTTTTTTTCCAAATTTCATGTTGACAAGCCAAAAAAACCTTCTGGGAGAATGGTTCTCGAAGATGAGGAAAAAAAAGGAAGTTTTTGACAAGGCACATCAGCTCTATGTTCATCGATGCAAAGAATACATACCAAGAAAAGAACACTGTCCCTACTGTCAAGTACAGTGCCGTGTAAAAGATTTCTGTGTTTGCATATTTATCACACACAAAAATTTTAGTTCATCATACCAATTTTAATTTCATACCGAGACAACCCAAGGAAATACAAAATTCAGTTTCAAAATACGAATTCAATTTATTTGAACACAAAAAATGTCCGTCTACCTGTCCCAATGTGTAAAAGTAATTGTGGCCTTGAACTGAAGGATTGTGGCACCTTTGGCAGCAATAACTGAAATCAAACATTTGCGATAATTGGTGAAGAGTCTTTCACATCGCTGTCCATCTATCTAGCTATTTATCTATCTATCCACTGTATATTGGCGGATTAGTTGTGACCCCCGTCACATATATTCAAATTGTGCATCGTAATTAGCTTGTGTATGTGTACAAAAAAAAAACAAATGCTGGGAATTCAGCATTTCTGTATATGAAGAAAACATTCCCTAAGTCCTTTAACCCATTTCTCAGTTGGCTTTGGTTGCTTGAGGCCGAATTAGCTCTGCTCCAAAGGAGAGACACATAATGATTATGTGGATATGTTTGGGGTTGGTGCATCTTTATATCTACAAGACCTGTGTCTATAAAATCCCGACCAGCATATATTTTCAACATACTGTGAAATGATAATCATAAAATAAGTAATAAATGATGATCAATGACCCAGGTAGGTCCAGACGCAGTGTTTTTTTTACGTTGCTTTTTTTGTTTTTTTTAACTCTATGTACATTTTTATGTTAGGATGAGAAAGTGAAGCTGACATGCACAGACAGACTGCCAGCTTACTTGACTACTGTGGCCATGATGGCTTTCATGGTGAGTAATGCGTCACTTTCAATTAGATCCTTTCACGGCTTTCCTGAAAGAAATGTTTCAACAATAACCTTTGTACTCATTTTGCCTGATTCTGTGTGAATAATTTCAGTCAAATTAAATGTTGTTCCTTACATTTAGTAGAATCCCATATCATTAAGCGCGAAAAGAACCCAAAAACAATAAACTTTCCGATGTCGAGCTATTGTGTAATCCATGCAATTGTTGCAAATATTGCTCCGCTTTCAAGAGTTCGATTGTTTGCGAGCTGGATGGACAATGCCTGCATTAACCTTATCTACCACTCGTCGACTGCTTGCTCCACACGAATAGAATAAGCTGCCGACAGAAGTGAAGTCAGCCCGCAGTGTAAATGCTATTAAATCCAAGTTAAGAACTTTGGTTTTTGTCAAACCCTTCAGGTCGTTGTTTTTAAGGTTTTCTGATCATGTGTTTAGTCTCGTAATTTTTTAAGCCACTTTTCTTTTTCTCTGCTTTGCTTTTGAATGTTGTTAACTGCTTTTTGTAAATACTTGTAGGTCTTTGCTTGTGTGAAGGACATGGAGTTGCCTTGTGTATGAAATGTACCACATTAATAAAATTGCCTTGCCTTGCCTCTATAAAAGGCCAAAAATTGGTTCAAATTTGAAAGAAAATTGAAAATGGCTGACTTCCTGTTAGGTGTAGGATATGGCTCCACGATACTTTTTGTGTCGGTCGCAGATTGTTTTATGTATCTCCCAAATTTTGCAGGTCTAGGTATGATGTTTGTCAATGCTTGTAGGTGGTGTGTCTTTGCTTGTGTGAAGCACATTGAGTTACCTTGTGTATGAAATGTGATTTATCAATAAAACTGCCTTGCCTTGCCTCTATAAAAGCCCAAAACTGGGGACAAATTTGAAAGAAAATTGAAAATGGCCTACTACCTGTTATTTGTAGGATGTGGCTCCAATATACTTTATTTGTAGGTCTCAGGCTGTTTTATGCATCTCCCAATTATCGTTGGTCTAGGTCAGCGGTCAGCAACACAAAATGTTGAAAGAGCCATATTGGACCAAAAAAACAAAAAACAAATGTGTCTGGAGCTGCAACAAATTAAAAGCCTCAGAAAGAAGGCAACCCACGCTGTATGTGTCTGTATTAGCTATATTAGCCTACTATCAAAATGACTAACTTGGCTACAAATACACAATGAGCCTTCCCGATTAAATGTTTTTTTCCCCTGCAGTGTATATTGTAGAGCAGGGGGGCCCAACCTTTTTTGACCAAAGCTCTATTTTTCGATCAACCAGCCTCCCCCAATCGACCCGTGACCGCACACGCACGCATACGCACATACTTACACACGCATGCCAAAATGAGCAACATCCATAACAGCGGCTAAGATGAACGAGGCACAGGACGCACTTTGGCAGCGTGTTAACTTTCATAGCTGACGTTTACCGTTTTAAAATGCTTCTCTCGGTCCTTTAGATTGTCATTCTTTGCAAGTTTCCTCAGTGAATTGGACATGAAACGCCATTCCTTCTTATAACAGTCACCTGCCTGGCATCCCGCTCTGCTAATAGAAACGTGTGTCGCAGGCTATGACGCAAATCTTCATTGACAGAAATGTTGAAATGTAATATTTATTCGACATGTTTTTACAGCATTGGAAAATGTTAAGAATATTTGTCCTCCTACAGAAACCATATTTAACAAAAAATATATTTTCACTCCCCCATTTTTTGCAATTTTCAAATATTTTAAAATGCTCCAGGCAGCCACTAGGTGGCGCTAAAGAGCCGCATGCGGCTCTGGAGCCGCGTGTTGCCGACCCCCGGTCTAGGTAAAGCGTCCAAACTTTGTGGGGGCGCTACTGAGAAATTTATTGAAAATTTCATGATAACCCTATGAAATATTGAATCTTTTGCTAAGCCTGATATGTGTGCATGTTAACACTATGAAATATTTTTTTTCTTGGCGAACAGTATGTTCCTAACACCGTTCTGGGCAAATTTGAGGTAGATCTGGTTTATTTGCTCAGAAAATATATCAAAGATTAAAACATGGATTTCCTTTTGCCAGTAGGTGGCACTACCACTGTGATGAAAAATACATTTATCGATGTGTTCAGGACTTCTGTACTCTAATCCAGATGTGTGAATTTTTTACTGAATATGATCATCTGGGTCAAGTTACAGCAGTTTTTGTTGTCACGGCATAACATCAGAATTACATAGTGGCATTTAAATTCAGTAAAACATGATCAATTTCTTGAGGCTTTTCTGACAAATTTTTAATTCGATCCGTCTGCGCAGTGCATTAGAATTTTCACCTGTGCTGTATGTTGCACATACTGCACATTTGACAATAAATCTGTACTTGACTTAAAATGTAATACAGTAGATGCCATTTCTTTTTGACACTAGGTGTTGCCTTATGTATAACAAAACATTGTGGAATAGAAGGGTGCTCAAAAAAAAAAAAAAAGATAACATTTGGCGTGGTTCTCAAATGAGCACCAGAGGTTGCTGTTTGGTGCTCATTTGCTCATTTCCCAATGACCTTATGGATGAACTTGAAGACTGACAGCAAATCTGGGAAATGTAGGCACCGCAGGTCAAACCCGACCCGTTTGTCGTATTTGCAATTTTTAGGAAGTCAAAGTAAAAGTCAAGAATGCAGAAGTGGGCAATTTCCAAAATGTTGCCGGTCCATCAGATATCACTGGCCTGGGCACCCGTCCGTCATTGTCTGTCCGTCATTATTTTAAACTCAGTCAGTCAGTCATGTTATCTTAACTGCGCTTCCATCTTCGGTTCTGTCAGTAAATTTCACCGGTCGGCCAGTATGTCAATCCACTTGTCCGTCTCTCATCAATCCGCCAGTCCATCTCACAACGCAATGGTGCAGGGTTCAATTGCGGCTTTCTGTGTGTCATTTGCATGTTCTCCCCGGGCCTGCGTGGGTTTTCTCCGGGTACTCCGGTTTCCTCCCACATTCCAAAAAAACATGCATGGCAGGCTGATTGAACACTCGAAATTGTCCATCGGCGTGACTGTGAGCGCGAATGGTTGTTCATCTAAGTGTGCCCTGCGATTGGCTGGCAACCAGTTCAGGTCATTTCCCGCCTACTGCCTGAAGGCAGCTGGAATAGGCTCGAGCACAGCCCCGCGGACCTTGAAATACAGCAATTTCATACACAAACTGTGGAGTAGTGAAAAATGGCTCAGTGTGTTGAGCTGACCTCTACTGTTCTCTTGCAATGTCCTATTGTGAGTTTATACTTTTGGATGGACTTCAGTGGACAAACTAGCAGAGGATAAACTACAGTATATGCCAATAAGTCTTGAGAAACTTACTTACAAACCACTATTAACAGTCGTCTGTTGCTTTTGGCTGAATGTGAACAGATTATAGCCCTTTCATTGGCCTCAAAAGTCATGTTTTTGTGAGCTCTCATATTATTAACAGACAACAATGAGCTTGTTCTATTGTGAATTGTTGAAAATGGTGAAACAAGTGCATAATAAGTCTCCTTGAAGATGTTAACGTTTAAAAAAAAACATCAATTTGTCAGAAAATCAGTGATGCAGGAGATTAATCTTTCACCCGTTTCTGTTGGCCCTACAATTGGCTGGCAACCGGTGTACCCCCCGACTGCCCAGAAACAGCTGGGATAGGCTCCAGCACCCCCCCGTGGCCCTTGTGAGGATGAAGCGGATCGGAAAATGGATGGATGGATGGATGAATGGTTTCTGTCGTTACAGATCACATTGTTCTCTTTCGCTTTACTTCCAGATCTCAGTGACATTTGCCATTGTCTTTGGGGTTGTTCTCTACCGGATTACCATTAAGACAGCTTTACATGTGAGCAGCTACCCTGCAGCACGGGAAAACGTACGAGCCACCGTCAAAACAACAGCTGCCATCATCAACGTCATCATCATCATCATCTTAGATGAAATCTATGGCGCTGTTGCACGCTGGCTCACTGTACTTGGTAAGAAAAATATTAACACACGAGGGATGACTGGACAAAACACATGATGTTAGTCTCTCATGGTATTGTGCCTGTCATGGATAATTCTCATCGAAAGAGCCATATTTGATGACTTGTAATATTCAATAACAATTCAGTGCATTTCTTTCCCTAATATTTTGCAGAGGTTCCAAAAACAGATAAAAGCTTTGAAGAGCGGCTGATCTTCAAGACGTTTGTTTTGAAGTTTGTCAATGCCTTCACGCCTATTGTTTATTTGGCTTTTTTTAGGGGGAGGTAAGGAATCACACACAAGGTTTACATTGCTGCACTAATTAATTACCATTAATCACATCTTTTATTTCAGGATTTGTACTGGCTCTTTTCATAAGCCAAGTTTTGTAGCTTTAAAATAGTAATAATAATAATCCTGTATGCATGTATGTGTGTATGTGTGTATGTATGTATGTATGTATGTATGTATGTATGTATGTATGTATGTATGTATGTATGTATGTATTTTAAGTATTGTCTTTGTATACTTCTTCCACAGAATCGACTTGCATTTTTGGGTTCTCATTTAACTGTATTTAAATGGTGGTCTTGTATAAAGGTAGTCCTCAACCCACGAACGTTCAACTTACGAACATTCGTAGACACAAACAAACGCTGAGATTGCATTCGCAAGTTCATAAAAAAAAAAAATATA